AAACTCTTGTCGTCTCTCAAAAGCTGTACTGCAAGCAACGATGTCTTTCTGTCCGACACCCGGCCCAAAAGCTTCTGGTAGTAGAACCAAAGACAGTCAAAAAGTATAGCAGGCTTAGGTAGTCACAAAGAATATTCTGTCGACCAGCTGGAACTACTCCGAGTGGGCCTCGGTGGAAAGGACCGTCGAGATTTCGACAGTGTGTCCGGCGCGATACCTTCATAGATTCGTGCGAATGGCCAAGCCGGTTTTCGATAAGATATAGAGAGCACGACATTCCCTTCATCTGTCAAGCGAGCATGAAGCTGACGGTTCAGCTCACATGATTCCTCCCTTCGATACCTGCCAAGAGCAACGGCGCTTCATAAATTACAACAACATCAAGGCTGACGTCCTCTCATCAGACATTGATGAGTAACAAAAGAACAAGTAACTGCCTCAACTGCTCCGATCACCAACAGCGCATGGAAAGGCGCTTAGGCAAGAGCGCGCCTGGAGCTGCAGCACCAGACGCTGATCACTGGATGTCACGTATGCGTTCCACTTGCTTGCTCGAGAGCTTTCTGGCCATGGATTGTAAGATGTCCTGTTTGTCTTGTTTGTACGCATGTGCGAAATCGCATCTTGGAGCAAACCATGCAAACTGACCAAATTCAGCTTGATGCGTTCGCGGCTCGGATCTCGACGACAGCCATCAAGTAGACTTGTCCGACGAGGTCTCCATGGATCATGCAGACATTTGATTGGACCATCCGCGAGTCCTTGCAAGCTGTCTTCCATCCCCCTCTTTCACGTTTCCGACGGCCATTGATTGAGATCCGGCTGACTTTCAACATTGTGTCGGTTCGTGTATTCTGAAGGTCGAGACGAAACCTGATTGCACGTTCTAGGAAAATTTTCCCGTCCCTCTACGTCGTCAACCATGATCGACAGGTATATCTTCGAGCGAAACGTGTTGACGCGAAGGCACGATGGGCAAATCCCAGATTGACCGCAGCGTGTCATTGACAAGCTGGAATGCCGAGATTGATGTCGAAAGTTGCTTTCTTTTCTTGGCACCTTCGTTGCAAAGGTATGCTAAGATGAATCGCTCCGGTGTGTTATGTGTATTTGCGTACCAGCTCCATCAGTATGAA